AGAATAGTTGAGTGATTAAATATGTATTTTGTCCTAATAATAAAATAGCATGCTATTTTTTTAATTACCCTCTCGATTCTAAGATTTCGTTTTGACTAATCTTGACCGACTAACGTTGCATACTTGATTTTTATGAGTAAATCTTTCAATAAAGATTTTCTGCATATATAAAAACTCGAACTCAAAACGTTTGAATTAAGTAACTAACCCCTGGGTCGCTATTAATCCAAATCCCAACGTATTTTGATAAAAACGAAAGAAATGGCGTGTTCGACCAAAGTGTAGGCATATTGTATGCTGCAAACAAAGGATAAGGAGGGTCTAGATGTCGTATCTATAACTTTGTATACACAGTTAAAATACAATTAATTTGAATCTTTAAGAGGAAATAACTTTTTTAAATTGTCTTTATATTTTTCATAATTTTATCCCGACTAATTCAGATTGATTCGTGTCGTACATCTGATTTTAGTGGATGAATTTCTTAAGGAGAATATTTTACATACACGAGACTTTGAACTCAAAACCTATTTAAACGATATCAAATTGCTTACCATTTGAATCAATCTCGTTGATAAAATAATATTTTTCTAACTGCTGAGTTCATTCAATAGATAATATTTTCCTATTTAAACGTGACCACCGACAAATCAATCAAAAATAAATGTCGTGGTGATATTTGTACGAGAACCAAAACGATCGTAAATGTATGCAAAAAACTTACAAAAAATCATAAAGATCGTGCCACAAGATCAAAGCAAAAATGTGTCACAAAGATAAAGATTTTTTATTCAAAATTAAAAAGACTCAAGAAAAAAAATAAAAGACATAATATAACAAATAAGAGAATTGATAATCTCCGATGGTCATTAATCAATATTAAGATTAACGTCGGGTTAAACAAATATTAAAAAAAAGAAAAAGATGTTGTAAAAATATTCAGACAAAATTAAAATAAAAAATCTAATAAAAATTTCAACTGGTAAAAGAATAAATTTTACATTCTATTTCTTAATACATGTTACTTTATGTTTCCTTTTCGTAATATAAAAATATAACTCACATGGGTTACGTAAGCAGAGATAATACACCTAAATTGTATTATAAATCTATCTATATATCCTATATATATAAAATCTTTGATCGAATTAATATTATGAATTAATTAAATATTAATTTAATTAAAATAATAAAAACCTTTCGTCAAATTTTATCATATTCCAGTCAACATACTAAGTTTAACTTAAAATGTTGTCAATATTTTAACAAAAAACAACGAGTTTAGAACATATGAATAGTTGAATTACCATTCTGTAACTATTAATAGTAGTGTGACTCAATGAAGCAACAACCTATAGTTAGGGGACCATTTTATAACTTTTAATAGTCGAAGGACTTACACGACCCAAGCGACCTCGGTGGTAAAGGAAATAAGGAATTGTTGTTATTCCTTGAGATCCTAGGCTCGAGTACCAGGAAAGTAATGGGTGTGAGCGTTCATTGTCAAATGATTAAGAATTATCTTTGAACAAATATTAACTTGTACTTAACCCATATTAATAAAAAGAATAGTCGGAGGACTCAATAAAATAGTTTCATATAATCAGGGGATCATTTGTATACTTTACCCTTTTCTTATTTTAGTCCAACAATTTATATTTTTATTTCGACCTTTCAATTAAATATTTTTAACTTGTATCTTTAAAGAGTGCACGAACTAAATTATCCCAGTGGTTAAAACCTTAAAGATATCGTTGTTATTTCTAGAGATCACGAATTCGAACACTAATAATTACAAAGATGATTGAGCGTTTTTTTCCCAGATGGTTGAGAATACTTTTATACGGGTCTCCTTAGGTCAAAATCATGCTATCTACATATATAATTAATCTTTATTTGAGTGGTTTAAATTAATTAATAGATGGTAAGTAGGTCATACTAGTGGATTGTTTTGTTCAAAAAAGGATGCCTTTAATGTCATTCCCTCACATGCAACCCAACATGCCTTCATTCGATCCGAGTGTTTTCAGTCATACTGTTCTATACTCTCAAACTTCACATATATTATTATAAACTTAGGCATTCTAAAAAGGATGGAAAAAGCATCAATTTTACCTTCAAAAGTATCATTATAGTTCTTGAGATAAATTGGATGCACATGGCTCTGATTTATATACATACATTCCACGTAGAAAGGCTCTGCATATTCGTAATTCTAGGGCAACATGACCTTTTCAATGTAGGAGCGGACTCATACCTATTATATATAGAGAGAGAGGTGTAAATGAACAGAGAGTTTTTATAAATCATTGGTATAAATATTGATGAATGTAAAGATAAATGTCGGGTAAACTTTAGAGTTAAATTGTAAAATCTAATAAGTTTAAGGATTGGTGATGTAATTTCACCATTTTATTGGTCTTGTAAATAAGAGGGTAAAAAGAGTATGCAGTATCATGTTCGTAAAGTTAAATGAATATGTTTATAAATGTTAAAATGAATCGAACACGTACATCTTTAAAAATAAATAAACAAACATAAATATAATATTAAAATTTAAACAAATATAAACCGAACATGGACACAAGGACGAACACATGGCAAATTTCTAAAATTTTAGATGATAATAAACTTATAAAACCCTAAGAGACAAAAATAGATTATCATTAAAAAAATATAAAGAAAATAGTTTAAAATATATTAATTTGGAATTTTTAAGGGATAATTCCTCCATTGATCCATTCCTCTATTAATATTTTCGAAAATAAATAAACGATTATGAATATAATTTATTCGTACAAACCCCTAATAAAAAAGAAATAAAGAGAGAGAGAAGTACTTTCAGGCTAGAAATCTAAGTAGACTGAAAGATGAAATGGTCGGTTCAAGATGTACACGTGGAAAATGATGGTTACTGACAAGTAAATGATGATGGGAATGATAATCATGCAGCAGGTTGGTCCATAGTTTGGATCAAAAACATATTATAACATTAAGTTCATTAAGGAGAACATGTCAATCATGGAAATGTGTGTGTGTATATATATATATAATTATCTGCTGATGAGCTCATGATTGCACTTACTCGGTGGGCTCCTGCAGAGGGGAGAAATCATCAGAAAGCTCAATCTTATGGCCGACTGATATGATTGAATGACCGGTGATGAGTTGTTTTAATGATCAGTATTCAAATCACCTGAATACAGTTTGATCACATATGGTGAAGCTAAATGCATAGCTCGAACTACGTCTTATCGTTCTCTTTGGTTATTTGTTGTTCGGAGTAAAATTCGACTCGATTAAAATATAATATAAATAAAAATTCAAAATAATTTGACTCTATTCAAATTTTATAATTTAAACTAAAAAATTCAAATAAAACTTATAAACTCGATTAACTCAAAATATTTTAACTCGATTTAATGCGATAGAATACTTATCCCTAATCGTCACATTGAAAAAGTGATTGCTTTGAGTGACTCATAATGAAAGGCAACTATGCTCAGGCGAGGGTTCTATCGGAACTAATGGCCCACACTAGGATCATTGGCAAGCATGCCAAACCTTCTTTTTGTAGATTTTATGATTCATGTTTCGAGTGTTCGATGTTTTTTCGATAGTATATAAGAGGTTAGTATCTTTGTGTGTGTCTAAAGCGAGGAAAATTATAAAGACGAACACTTTATCTTGATGGATTCGAACAACAAAAAGACCAATTCGCCTTCCTCTTCTTCCAAAAGCAAAAGGAAGCAGCAGCAGGAACAAGGAACAAGGTTCTTGGGAGTAAGGAGGCGGCCATGGGGTCGATACGCGGCCGAGATAAGAGATCCTTCCACTAAAGAAAGGCATTGGCTCGGCACATTCGACACGGCCGAGGAAGCTGCCTTGGCCTACGACCGTGCCGCTCGGTCCATGCGCGGCTCCAAGGCTCGAACCAACTTCGTTTATTCCGACATGCCCTTCGGTTCATCCGTCACCTCCATCATCTCCCCCGACGAATCACACCATAACGTTTTCTCCATTGATATCCCACCTTTCCAAAACGATGCGAACCAGAACCAGCTTTTCTTCTCTACTCAAGACCCTTTCACTGCATGCCAGTTCTCTTCCGGGTGGATCCAAGAGACTAGCAATGGCACAGTCGATTCTTACAGGCCCATTACCGGTGTCATGGATGTCGGAGACGGTGGTTCACGGCAGTTTGGCCATGATTCCGAGCTGCCACCTTTGCCTCCGGATGTCTCCTCCGGGCTTGATATGAGCTATGGAACTTGGAATGAAACAGGGTTTTTTGGGTTCTCGGATCAAACCGCACACGGATTCGACTCGGGGGTGAGTGGAACCTTTCTTGGCTTGAACTCTGAGGCGGAAACCACCGCATTCGATTTGAGTTCATCGTCGAGTTACTTTCATTAAATCAAGAGTACTGCAACTATTATAACTAGAAAATTATCAAGAAAACTGCGTCAGTATGATTTCGGCGGAACGCCATGGATTTGGTTTTCATCCTTATCATTACTTAAGACAATAGCATGTGATCAATTATGCACATAGATGGACTGAACGGATTGACAAGATAATTTCTCGAAAATTTTAAATTTCTATATATTTTAAATATTTTTACTGTGAGTTAAATAAATATATTTTCACCTTTTGTAACATAAAATCGTTGTCCATCCTCCACTGCATACTCCTTGCTATCTCATCAAAATCATTGTCATTAGGTTCATAAATCATGACCTACACGATATTTTAATCGATCTTTAAGTTCTAAACTTTAAATATTCGTGAAATTTAATATTCAGCTCGCTTTGTGTTTTCCCTCATCAAATTAACAAGTAAAAAAGAGGGGTTTGGATTCTGATTCCTCCTCCATGCTCAAGGAAACATCGTTCGGACATAAATAAAAAATAAACTCTGCAAAAAATGAACGGTCAAGTTGCTGGCACCTGCATTAATTTTTGCGGTTAACCAAGAGAATATATCATCATAATCGATGAGTAGATGTGCTTAGGCTGTGGATTCCTTGGCAATCTTGTCTGCCTTAGCAATGACCTCCTCTATTCCTCCAGCCATGTAAAATGATTGCTCTGGAAGATCATCATACTTTCCATCCAACACACCCTGTAACAATCATCATGATTATTCGGAATTAATGCTACTAACTACCTCACAATATACAACTACATTACGACCAATGCTGACATGCACGACACATATATCATCAACCATTAAACTATGCACATAGCGCGGCAGGTAGCATAATCAGATGGATTTTGTTGACCAATATTGTTAGCAACCTTGTCAATGAATTCTCATTAAAATGTGGGTCTGAATAACTATTCAAAGAAAATATACATCCCATTGTTCAGATTCGTATATGTCTAAACCACAAGTTGACACATCTCAACCCACAACAAAGTAACTACCATTTCCATATATATATATATATATATATATATATATATATATATATATATATATATATATATCGGTTTAGCACAGATCACAAGGCCTTTATTTGCTCTATAATGTAAGACAGTGTTAGACGCATGTCTCATAATTGGGCCATTTCATTATAGTATCTCCTTATGAGTTCAAAAGGCTTTTTAACCACAAACCTTACTTTAATAATTGTGGATATAAAACATGGACCCACCCATGAGTAACTAATCGCTTTGTCATGCATGCCATAACCATAATAGAAGCCCGGCAGAAAAAAGAATTGGTACCTGGAAGCTGGTGATGCTCTCTTTCAACTCCACGTACTTTCCGGGAGCACCCGTGAACACTTCTGCTACGTGGAAAGGCTGGCTCAAGAACCTTTGGATCTTACGAGCACGAGCAACAGTTGCCTTATCGTCTTCACTGAGCTCATCCATTCCCAAAATGGCAATGATATCTTGCAAGTTCTTGTAGTTTTGGAGAACCTTCTGCACACCATGAGCAGTATTGTAGTGTTCCTCACCCAAAATATGAGGAGAAAGTATACGAGATGTAGAATCCAAAGGATCCACGGCTGGGTAAATATCAAGCTCAGAGATCTGATAAAATAAAGAAACAAGTGTTATGAACAGTGAGCCACATGTAATCATAAGGTAACATCAAATAGAGAACCTTTAAAAACTACATATAGATATGTACAATACCTGCCGCGACAAGACAGTTGTAGCATCCAAGTGAGCAAATGTTGTTGCAGGAGCTGGATCAGTCAAGTCATCAGCAGGCACATAAATGGCTTGCACAGAAGTGATAGAACCTTTCTTGGTGGTAGTAATACGCTCTTGAAGGCCTCCAAGATCAGTAGCCAAGGTTGGTTGGTAACCAACAGCAGATGGAATTCGACCAAGCAAAGCAGACACTTCCGAGTTTGCCTGAAAAAAGAAAAATACACACAATTCAAGCCATCAGCAACATATAACATGTGTCATAAAGTGTTCCAAAAGCTTCCAAAATAAGCCAACTCACTTGAGTAAAACGGAAAATGTTGTCAATAAAGAGAAGAACATCCTGCCCTTCAGCATCACGGAAGTGTTCAGCCACGGTCAAACCAGTAAGGCTAACACGAGCACGAGCACCAGGTGGCTCATTCATTTGACCATAGACAAGAGCACACTTGCTTTCAGCCTGGAATTATACAAAATCAAAAAGCAACAAGGATAAGATACAACAAAATAAAGAAATCTGGACAAGATGAATAAGATATTGGGTATTTACCTGCTTGTCACCTAGCTTGATGACACCACTCTCAATCATTTCTCTATACAAGTCATTGCCCTCTCTTGTACGTTCTCCAACGCCAGCAAACACCGAGAAACCACCTATGTACATAAACTAGTAATATAAAAATAATAAACAATGTACAAACTGTGAACCAACATTAAATATAACGTAAAACCAACTATGAGCTTTGGCAACATTGTTGATCAGTTCCATAATAAGCACCGTCTTTCCTACACCAGCACCACCGAAAAGTCCAATCTTTCCTCCTCTTTGATATGGGGCAAGGAGGTGACCAACCTGCAAAATAAAACAAGACAGAAAGGTTTTGACTGACATAATGTAACATCCCTAAAACAGGGCTAATGACTAAAATATAAGCTTTTTGAAACTTTGTGATCAATTTTGAAAAATTAAAAAGTTCAAGGACTTATTTGAAGTAATTTGGTGTTTGATTGAATAGCAAAGTTTGGAAGTAAAAAGGGAATAATGATCATTTGGTAAGGAACTAATTAAAAACTTATAGTGGTGGATATATATGCACTTGTAGTAAGTGAGGAGGAAAGAAAAATCTGGAAGTTTGGCTTCTTCTTCTTCTTCTTTTTCTACCGTGAGTGTTTGGTTAAAGGTAAGAATTCTTCTAGTTGGTTATTTCTTGAATTCTTCTAGTTGGTTATTTCTTGAATTTTTAAGTTGGGTCTTGGTCTTTGGGTGATACATAAGCTTAAGGAAAGCTTAATGTGGTGTAAAACTAAAAGATTGATAAGTTATGGGGGAATTTGTAAAAAGAGTTTTTGAGTAAATTGTTGAGAAAGAGTTAGTAAATAAATTTTGAAGTGAAATTTGATTTGTCATAAGCTGAAATAAGAAATCTAAAGTACTAGATATGAATTTAAGACATGTTGAGTATTTGGTATGATTTTTGGTTCAAGTGTTCTAGTTAGATATGGGATGTTAAGATGAGTTAAGTTGAGATAAGTTGATTTGAATAAGTGTAGTTGAGTTCAAAAGCTTTAAGGAAGAGTAAAATGGGAAATTTAGCTAAGTTTGATTGATTTTCGGGTTAAAATAAGTCAGTTATGGGCATGAGGTATTGGATGAACAGTACCGATACTTCAGAGTAAAAATAGGTCAGATTGTGGTATGAGTATCGATACTGGATGAGCAGTATCGATACCATAAGGTATCGATACCATAAGGTAAAAGTTGTTGAATCATTTAAAGAGTATCGATATCGAATGAGTAATACCGATATCATGGGGTATCGATACCAGTGAGCAAGTATCGGTACCATTTTGAAGATGAAATTCCAGAATCGAAATTGGGTATCGATACTGAAATATAATATCGATACCATAGTGTAGAAGTATCGGTATTGTACCTAAGGTATCGATATTATTCGAAGTGAAATAGTGAATTAAGTGTTTCGTTTAGCTCAAGTTATTGGTGATTGATTTATACTATTATGAATTCCGATATTTATTTAGATTGTATAATGGTGTAGATAATGATCGAAAGCAAGACTCGGACGATTCAAAGTTGTAAGATCGATCTAAGGTGCTAAGTGTGACCACCGACAAAACAATCAGAAATAAATGTCGTGATGATATTTGTGCGAGAGCTAAAACGATCGTAAAGGTATGCGAAAAACTTACAAAAAAACCATAAAGATCGTGCCACAAGATCAAAGCAAAAACGTGTCACAAAGATAAAAAAAATTTATTCAAAATTAAAAAGACTCAAGAAAAAAAATAAAGGACATAATATAACAAATAAGATAATTAATAATCTCCGATGGTCATTAATCAATATTTGTGCTTATTATGGAACTTATCAACAATGTTGCTAAAGCTCATGGTTGGTTTTACGTTATATTTACTGTTGGTTCACAGTATGCACATTGTTTATTATTCTTATAATCCTAGTTTCTGTACATAGGTGGTTTCTCGGTGTTTGCTGGCGTTGGAGAACGTACAAGAGAGGGCAATGACTTGTATAGAGAAATGATTGAGAGTGGTGTCATCAAGCTAGGTGACAAGCAGGTAAATACCCAATCTCGGGGTACCGCATCCTCATTTCAAAGGTTATTTTGATCATCCGTATTTTGTGGTGATAATTCGGAGGGCATTTCATAATTCGGAGGTCTCTTACGGAAGCTACTCTCAACCTGGTGTTGGGGGTAACCTACTATCTTATCTTTCCTTATCCTATACATATGGAAAAAAGGGGCAGCCATTTTTTTTAGCCTATTTTGTGGTGATAAAGAAGACATGCAGATTGAAAATCTTGATCTAAACAGACATAAAATGAACAGCTCTATGAGACCAAATTCCGAGTAAATTTTTTTTTATAAGTAACGAGAAGCTCTCAAGAGTTTCGATCATCAACAACGGAAAAGTCGTAGCGCGTTTAGCACTCAGTGTCAGCAAGACCTTGCATGGGTGGAGCTGTAAAATGGTCAGACACTGACATCGATTCCTGAGGAATTGGTCAGGAAGAACAAACAGGTGAAATATAAGTTACATGGGTTGAGCTTTCAGTAAGCCCTTATTTCTCGGCTCACTAGACGGGGAATATGCGTACAGTAGAAAAAGCTTTTTGATTTTTGTATAATTCCAGGCTGAAAGCAAGTGTGCTCTTGTCTATGGTCAAATGAAAGAGCCACCTGGTGCTCGTGCTCGTGTTGGTCTTACTGGTTTGACTGTTGCCGAACACTTCCATGACCCTGAAGGGCAGGATGTTCTTCTCTTTTTTTGACAACATTTTCCGTTTTACTCAAGTGAGTTTGCTTACTGTGGAAGCTTTTGAAACACTTTAAAGTACATGTTTCATGTTGCTGATGATTTGGATTGTGTCTTCGTATTCTTTTTTCAGGCAAACTCAGAGGTGTCGAATTCCATCTTCTGTTGGTTACCAACCAACCTTGGCCACTGATCTTGGAGGCCTTCAAGAGCGTATTACAACCACCAAGAAAGGTTCTATCACTTCTGTGCAAGCCATTTATGTTCCTGCTGATGACTTGACTGATCCAGCTCCTGCAACAACCTTTGCTCACTTGGATGCTACAACTGTGTTGTCCCGGCAGGTATTGTACATATCTATATGTAGCTTTTTGGAGGTGCTCTATCTGATGTTATTTTAAGATTACCTGTGGCTCTCTGTTCGTAACACTTGTTTCTTTATTTTATCAGATCTCTGAGCTTGGTATTTACCCAGCTGTGTTGATCCTTTGGATTCTACATCTCGTATGCTCTCTCCTCATATTTAGTGATGCAGGGGATCCGAGACAGATGATGTTGAGCTGTTAGATTACACCTTGATGGAGCTGAGATACCATGAATTGGCAGATCAGCGCAAAGGCGTGAATTGATTATGACATGTTCCTCATTGGGATCGTTTTGAGTATGTTTCAGTCTTTTGACCATAACTTTGGCTACAAGTGTCAGAATCGCGCATAAGACCCCAATCTGAAAAGTTCTTTTCGACGCGCACGCTCTCCACATCGAGCTACGCTCCATGTGGCCTTTTTTTCAACCTCAAATTCTGCCGTTTTCACCTCCGAATCACTAGATTTAGATATTTTTTACTATTTATGGTAATATTTCGATTATCAATTAGGAAATCAATTTAAATCCGATTTAGGCCGGATTTTTTGGAGATTGCTTATTTTATTTCAAATTTCAATTTAGAGTGATTTTCAGGATTTTGCTATTTTTGGCAAAATTTGAATAAAGACGATTTTTGACTATAACAGTCCGGCTTGTGGACTGATTTTGCATGGTTTGAATTTATAATATTTTATTAAACCTTAGAGACTTTTTTTCTCTGGTTTTTTGGGCGAATTTTCTCTTGTGAATCATTTATTGGAGTGCTCGCAGGATAATCACTATTCTGTATGACGTCATTTAGGGTGAGGAACACTACAATACTGCACGTGGTGTGCAGAAGGTTCTCCAAAACTACAAGCACTTGCAAGATATCATTGCCATTTTGGGAATGGATGAGCTCAGTGAAGATGATAAGTTAACTATTGCTCGTGCTCGTAAGATCCAAAGGTTCTTGAGCCAGCCTTTCTACGTAGCAGAAGTGTTCACGGGTGCTCCTGGCAAGTATGTGGAGTTGAAAGAGAGCATCACCAGCTTCCAGGTACCAATTTTTCTCTCTGCCTGGCTTCTGTTATAGTATGTTGTGGCATGCATGGCAAAGTGACTAGTTACTTGTAATGGGTCATGGGTGTATAAATTGTATAATATCCTTCATTATTAAAATAAGTGACCAAGTTATGCAACACTTGGCTAAACCCAGATAGTTTGAAAATGCTAATTCCTTTGTTGTGGGATGACATACATTTCGACTTGTGGTTTAGACAGGTAATATGAATCTGGACAATGGCATGCATGTATATTTTCCTTGTATGGCTTTTCAGACCATCCTGTTTATTAGAATTCATTGACAAGGTTTTTGGCATTTATCATACATGCATCATGCGTGCATCTGCATTGGCCGTATTTTAGTTGTATATTGTGTGGTATTAGTAGCATTAATTGTCAATAATCATGATGATTGTTACAGGGTGTGTTGGATGGAATGTATGATGATCTTCCAGAGAAATCATTCTACATGGTTGGAGGAATAGAGGAGGTGATTGCTAAGGCAGACAAGATTGCCAAAGAATCCGCAGCCTATGTACCTCCATACATCATGATTATGACGATACCTTTGTTTTATCTCTTGGTTAGCTGCAAAAATAATCTAGGTGGTGTCGGCCATGCCATTGCCAGAGACTGTTCATTTTTTGCGATTAAATGTACCAGAGAGTGCTTTTGATTTATGTTCAGATGATTTTCCTCGTTTATGAAAAGAGGAAATGGAAACCAAAACCATTTTTTTACTTGTTAGTATTTAGTAAGTGAAAACACAAAGCGGATGTGTACATTTTTCCTGGTTCCTTAAAGAACGCAGTATGACCAAGTTATCAACAGGCAAAACAAAGGTTAATGGGGCTAGAGCCCTCAGCACCAAGGCCAAAGCAGGAAAGTCGCACCGCAAACTAAATCGGGAACCTGAGCGCAGAATGATGTAGGGGCATTGTTACTCATCCTTTCGACAATGGAGTGGGAAACACAGCATAGTGCAGTCCATATCCAGAATCGAAAGGCTTCATCAACCTGCGCATAGTGAGATCAGAAGAGTCGTGCCTCAAAACCACTGGCGAACAATCCTCACCGTTGCGTATATTGCATGAGCTGATCCGATTCTCACAGGAATCCTATACGATCTAAAACCAGCAAATAAAGGATAACATGCAAAACTTGTAGAGATGAAAACCAAACCACCCCAAGCGTAGTGAGCAAAAGGAATCGAATCAAACAACAGGATGCATTGGAGAGCCAGCACTTGGGAGGAGGGAGGAGTTCGGCGACGATGTACGCTTGTCCCACCTAAAGAGAAGTAAGAAAAAAACACACATACTGGAAGAGGGATGCAAAAGTGGAGGAGAGTAGTGCAGAGGGTGCCGAAGAAGGAAAAAGTTCAGTGGAGGGTCTGAAATGAAGAAAAAGATGGGAGGGGAAGAAACAAAACAAATGAAAAAGCAAATCAAAGGAAAGGGGCAGAGCAAAGAAAAACAAGAGTGGATTGGCAACGACCGATGGTGGCAACAAGCCTGCTGAAGTCCATGGCCGCCGCCGGAAAAGACGGGAGAATAAGAACCTTGGCGGCTATGGTTTTTTCCTTCAATACATACAACGAATGACAGTTAAACCGTGATGAGATGATGTTTTGAAATGCAATCGGAACTGTGAACGTTAAACCTTGGATGTTATCCAACAATGGACGTGCTTAGGTTTAGAACCTTCTTTATTTCTTGGTAGTGATGAAGAATTTGAGAGAATATTAGCCATAATAATTAATTATATATAAGCAAATTTAAACATTTCAAAATTAGCAAATTTGAACCTTCTGTTCCAAAGTTGATTTTACATATTCAATTTCACGATCATCAGCAGAATCAGAGATTTTCAAAGAGGGAAACAACCACAAATTTTCTTTAACAAAAACTAACCCAAACCAATTCTATTTAAATCTCACTCCTAAACGCTCACCTACTAAAAACTTGACAGCAGGACTCAAGACCTGCTTGCTTTATTCACATGTAGACGTAGTAACACAGCTCAACCCACCATATTACAATGGTTTTTGTTCTTTTGCATGCTAACCGATTTCAGAGAGTTTGCTTTCTCTTGCAGGGTGTCGAGACGGCTGTCGAAGCTCTTCTTGAAAGACTCCACTCCCTCGTCTTCCAGCTGTGAGCCGATGTAGGCCCAGTCGATCCCCAACTTCTCAAGTGCACTATAGATGCCTTCAGCTTCAGACACGTTCGTGTCAATTGTCCTTGAAACTGTGCCGTGATCTATGAAGGCTAGGAGTGCTTGGTCAGGCATGGTTGAAACCTGCAACAACATAAATTTACCATAAACACGTGACATGGTTATTCACCATCAGATGCCGAAGATAATGTCTTCACTGAACAAGAAGGATAGCTCACCGTGTCAGGACCAATAAGAGGAGCGACATATAGAGTGTCGGGGTAGGCAGGGTTCTTTACACTAGTCGAGGCCCACAGCAGCCTCTGTTTCCTAGCTCCCTTCTTCGCTAAAGCCTCCCATCTTGGACCAGAGAATTTCTTCTGGTAGAGCTGGTATGCCAGAGCTGCTTGAGCTACCGCGGCCTAAAAAATAGTAACCATGGCATGATACAAGTAAATCCCGACATATACTTCACTTAATTTTCAAACCATAACGCGTGAATATTGTGGTTTTAGTTACCTTTCCTCGGAGATCAAGGGCCTCTGGTGTTCCAATCTTTTCAAGCAGTTTGTCAATGAGGGTGTCTACCCGACTGACAAAGAAGGAAGCTACACTTGTAACCCTAGAGAGGTCACTCAGCCCAGAAGCCTCAAGGCCATCCGAGTAAGCATCAATGACAGCTTCATATCTTGCAAGTGAGAATATGAGCTGCAGGTGAAAAAAAAAAGAAATCGAGATTTACGTACATGCATGATATTTAACTCAAAACATTGGATGCATGTAACTCAAAACAACATCATGACTTCTACTTTATATACATTTCTGTTATTAGAATTTATGAAGGCTTAGAATTAGGGTAGCGGAGTAGAGTTGTCTTAGTTTAGGTTTTCACCCATTTTAACTTTATTCCTTCTTGTAGCTTGCTATCTTTGATTATTGTTATTGTGTATCATTCTCTTCAGGTTTCCTCTTTTTACTTTTTAAATTTAGTCGAGTCTTACGTTTCTGTCTATATACAGAGATTTTTACGCAGGGATTGATTTGCAGGGATTAATTCCCATTACAGACAACATATGAAGACTGTTCAACTATGTATTTATTTATTTATTTATTTATTTATTTATACATGCATTGCATTTTATCTTTCTTTTTAATTTTTTGACTGCCGGAGGTCTCTCACGGAAGCTACTCTCAATTCTAACGTTGAGGACAACCTATTATCCTACCTCCCTTTACCTCATTGCATATGAGAATATGATTTTGTTGTTGTTGTATACAGACATTCACGCTTATCCCTTTGCAATAACTTCCTTGATCGAAGTAATGCAAGATGCTGTTGCAGGGATCTTGATGTACACATTGGGACGATCAACCACTTTATGAAGATATTTTGCAGCCTCAATGGTCCCTTCAGTATTGTCAGCTAGTCTGGGAGAAACCTCGACAGAAACATAACCATCACCTCCATCCCTTTGATCATAGATCGGCTCAACAAGCTTGTACGCATCTTGAATGTCCTTCACAACTAACTCCCAATATGCACTTTCAATATCTTTTCCAGACTGCACAAGTTCCCTACAAATTCAAGTAATTTTAAAGGTTTAACTTATCTTAATTTATTCATTTATTAAATAATTAATTAATTAATAAGATCAAATTAAAATTAAAACTATATCCTTATAATTTAAAATGTAATTATTTATTTATTTTCATAAATAATTACAAACTATAAATTTATTATTAATTTTTAATTATTAAATAAATATAAATAATCATAAATTTTACTCACTAATTTTTTTATTTTTTTAAAAAATTTTAAATATTAAATAGCTAAATACGTTATAATTGCCAAACCATTTAGGCTAGGCTTGTCGTTGCTGTTAATTTGCCGAAGCTAATATTTAACTTATAAAAATATTAAATTAAAATTAAATAATTTCTCCATTCAATTGAAAGTAAAAAATAATTAAATAAATATTTATATATTTTATAAACTTAATATTAATTTATTTTAAAAATTAAATTTATGATATTTGTTACGGTAGAATATAAGTTTTAAATTATTTTAAAAATAAATAAATATTGCAAATTATATTCTATCATAAGTAGTTTAAAATTATAATGTATTTAGCTATTTAATATTTAAAATTTTTAAAAAAAATAAAAAAATTAGTAAGTAAAATTTATGATTATTTATATTTATTTAATAATTAAAAAATAATAATAATAATAAATATATAGTTTGTAATTATTTATGAAAATAAATAAAAAAATTACATTTTAAATTATAAGGATATAATTTTAATTTTAATTTGATCTTATTAATTAATTAATTATTTAATAAATAAATAAATAAAGATAAGTTAAATATAATCTTTGACAAATTTGTACCAGTTTGGCTTAAATGGTTAAGTGATCATTTTTCCTCCAAGGAGATCCTGGTTCTATTTCTGGTAGTGCCTTTTCCTTTAGAGAATTTTCCTTCGTTCCATTTCAAATATAAATTTTTGAAAGTTTAAGTACTAAAATGTATAAAGTAAAACCTTAAGTACTAAATTAAATATAATTTTTTAAAAGTTTAAGTATTAAAATGTAAAAAAAAAAGTAAAACCTTAAGTAGTAAATTAAATGTGTAGTTTATCCTATAATTAGCACATAAATTTTAGAAGCTAAAATAAATATTTGTTGGGTTCTTTCAGCCGAAAATTTGCGGGTAAAAGAAATATGGCGAATACTCCCTTGCCGCCATCAATTCCTTCACAAATTGCAGCAACTCGCTTTGCTCGAATACCTTCATGTGTCTCTCTCAAAACCATCTCTTCTTCTTCGTTGAAAATCCCCCCAAACCAACAGCAACAAGGCCAAGTTGAGAACATACACTTGGTTTCTTTGTCTAATCAAGGGAAACTCAAAGAAGCTCATAACTTCCTCAAACAAGTGGACGAAGCCGGCGTTCCCGTCAACCCCAACTCCTACAAATCCCTCCTCGAAACCTGTAGCAATATGAGATCATTTTCGGATGGCAGATTGATTCACCAACGTTTGCAAACAACGACGGGGAATCCGTTTAGGTTTCTCGACAACTGTGTACTGCGAATGTACTGTGAATGCGAGAGCTTTTGGAACGCAGAGAAGTTGTTTGATGAAATGCCTGACAAAAATGTAGCATCTTGGGTTGTACTTATCTCTGCTTTCTTAGAAAAGGGACATTTAAAGAAAGCTTTTGGGTTGTTTTCTCAAATGATTGAGTTGGGAATTGAACCGCATTCTACCATTTTTACCAGCCTCTTGAAGAGTTTATTAGACCCTTCTGTTTTGGAGATTGGGAAACAGCTTCATTGTCTCGTTATAAGAATTGGATTAAGCACCAATGTTTCTGTTATCACAGCAATCTCCAATATGTACGTGAAATGTGGGGCGCTAGAAAGAGCTAAGCTTGTTTTTGATCAAATGGTTGAAAGAAATTCCGTTGCTTGGACGGGATTGATGATGGGGTACACTCAAGCTGGCAAAGAGAAATATGCTTTGGTATTATTTGTTAGACTGTTAAAGGAAGGTGTTGAACTGGACGAGTTTGTGTTTTCGATTGCTCTCAAAGCGTGTGCTGGTTTGGAGGATTTGAACTTAGGGAGGCAAATTCATGGTTATATTGTTAAACTCGGGTTTGAATCGGAAGTTTTCGTGGGAACTCCTGTTGTCGATCTATATGTCAAATGCTCGGATTTCGATTCTGCTTGTCGAGCTTTCGAGAGGATATCAGAACCAAATGATGCTTCGTGGAGTGCTATAATAACTGGCTATTGTCAAATTGGTAAATTTGAGAAATCACTGCAGATTTTTAAATCATTGAGGATGAAAGATATGGCTATGAACTCATTTATATACACTAGCATTTTCCAAGCATGTTCTGCCCTTGCAGATTATAACATGGGCGCCCAAGCTCATGCAGATGAAATAAAAAGAGGTTTAGTTTCATATCTTCATGGAGAGAGTGCAATGATCACTTTCTACTCAAAATGTGGTAGGCTGGACTATGCAAATCGAGCCTTCGAGTCTATAGATGAACCAGATACTGTGGCTTGGACCGCAATAATATGTGGTCATGCTTATCATGGCAATGCTTCTGAAGCCCTGAAGTTTTTCAGAATGATGCAGAACTCTACGGCGAAGCCAAATGAAGTTACTTTTGTCGGGGTTTTAACTGCTTGTAGTCATTCTGGTTTTGTTACAGAAGCTAAGCTGTATTTAGAGTCAATGAGCCACGAGTATGGTGTGAAACCAACTATCGATCATTATGATTGTATGATCGACACATACTCTCGTGCTGGGCTGCTTCATGAAGCATATGAGCTGATAAAGAATATACCCTTCGAACCGGATGCAATGAGTTGGAAATGCTTGTTGGGTGGGTGTTGGATCCACCGAAATCTCAAGCTGGGAAAAATTGCAGCCAAATATCTACTTCAACTGGATCCTGATGATACTGCAGGACAGGTTATATTCTGATGTTTAACCTATATGCTTCACATGGGAAATGGGAAGAAGCGGCACGTATAAGAAGTGTGATGGGTGCAAGAAAGTTGAAAAAGGAACTTAGTTGTAGCTGGATTACCGTCAAGGGTAAGGTACATCAATTCGTCGTTGGTGATAAACACCATCCTCAGACAGATAACATATATGAAAAGTTGAAAGAATTAAACCATTATTTTACCAAAGTTGAAAGTGTCCTTTTAACGGAAGAGGATGTGTCATTTGGTTTGCCGGAGCGTAAACAGCAGCTTTTGGAGCACAGCGAGAGACTTGCCATAGCATTTGGGCTCATATCTGTATCGAGCAATGCTCCTATAACTATTTTCAAGAATCTCCGGGCATGTAAACACTGCCATGATTTTGCAAAACATGTATCAATGGTTACAGGACACAGAATCACTATTAGAGATTCATGCAGATTCCATCACTTCTACTCGGGGAAATGCTCTTGCAATGACTATTGGTGATTTTTGCAATTTGTTTTTACCATGAGTGGTATGGTGACTCCCACTGTATAGTCATTGAAGTTTTTACTCCTCTCGATGTTTAGCTTGTTGCACATGATAGCATGTAGCCTATGAACATTAAGCCTTCCATGACAGCTATGCATTCAACATTCAAAGTAAATTCATCATATAATCTATACATTTTGGCCATGAACGATCATTTAATTAACTTTTTACTGGTTTGTGTTGTAGATCCTGTCATTTACAGAACCTGCATTATTTTTTACTGCCATATTCGGATAGAAATATTCATAGTCATGGATGCACAGAAAACAATTTCAGTTCTCTAGTTACCTGCTGTGCCTAGCACTCTAGCACATAACAAGAACATATTGTCGGTTCTTAAAATAGTTCAACAGATAGAAATAATCATACTTGCAACCGACGCTATACATAAAATATAAAACCTATTATTAGTATAAGCTATATTAAACATAGGGTGCAACTATAGAACTGTTTAAACATTTTAAAAGGAAAGAGACTCTACAGCCCATGTCATTATTAACCAACACTTTGCATTTTGCATGCAGATATGGAGTTCAAAACCCAAGAATTGCTTACTGCTTTTGCTCCTGTTGAATTTGCCAGAGCTTCCGCATCTGATTGCCTGCGGCTTAAAATCATATGTTGCTTCTTGAGATCACACTTATCGGGCACCTCAACACTGTAAATTATGAAGGTTGAAGATATAGCAGAACCAGATGCCGGGGCTCCCAGATCACCCGAAATAGGTTTTCTATGCAGAATGGTACCTCCGGCTGCAATTACAACATCTTGTAGGTATCCCTTGTAAGAAGTTTTGAAATCCCCCATTATATAGAACTTACACTCGTTAAAAAGCTTTGGTTGCTGCAAAGATTAATGTTGTCAACAAAGAAAAAAAGTTCAGTGTTAAAAGATTGCATGCACATCACAGCATCATTTTCAGGATTCTTCTAAGAAGCCACCCTAAATCTTATCTTTTAGAAATAGAGTCAATGTTACGTAAAGGCCAGTAAAAAGTTACCACCAAAGAAAAGGTCTTAGGGATCAACCTTGTTCTGGAGTCTCATCCTTCCAAGTCGTGGACCATCCCTGATTCCATGAACATCGATACTAATTTCATATGGTAACTCATCAACAGGTTTCATGGCTTTGATGCAAGCTTTGACCCCTGCACAAATAGAAGTTTAGAATACAAGCTGAGATTATATAGGCATATGCATTTGTAATTACAGAATATGCAGTGGGCACATAGGCTTATAAAAGTCTTAAAACAATAAACTCGAGCAATTTTGGGGTAACGAGGTACTGACAATTAATATTCAGGATCCACTTCCCCTCCAAGATACCGATTAGAAATTTAAGGGTTCTTTTGCATGCTCCATTTTCATCCGTGGATGCAATGATATGGGTGACATTTGAATCCCATCTTTTCAACACTGGAACACCAGCTTGCTTCTCAAATTCAGATACGATTTCCTGTAGTTCAACAAATTTAGAGTAAATGTCAAGGATTTTCCTTCTGTGAATGAAAAAATAAATAAAAAGAACAAGGACAACACCGCAACAGATTGTAACACTTACTCTTTCTTCAACTGTGAGAGCTGAGCAACAGAGAACCAATTTGTAGCGTGATTCGCAAGGATTCCATTTCTTCTGCATGGTGACTTCATTTGTAGGAATTTCATTGTTGTGAATTGGCAAATGTCTGCAAATGAAGAAACTTAATGAAACTTTCATGAGGATGAAATGGTGAAGTTTGTAAGGAAACTAAAATAAGCTGAATGAAAGTTCAGCATACCCTCTTAAAACACTCCGTTTTCTGCTTCCTTGAGATTCTGACTTTTCTCTGGGCAACTTAGAAGAGGCATGGAGAGGGCATAATATTACAAAGTTATCCTGTTGTGACCCAAAATAAATACACTCTGTTAACAAGGAACATAGTCTTTAACTTCCCAAAAAAAGCATATGAAGTCCAGAAAGCTGCCCAATCTGTATATCACTTACAGTATCCCACCGGCATTGTGAGACTAATTTTGCACAGGGAACATGGAAACTCTTGCGACAACTCCTTTCATAACAGCCTAATGCTGCACCTTTGAGTCCACAACAAGAGCATTTTATTTTTCGACTTCTGGAGAGTTCAGCTTCAAGGTTGATTGCCTTATCATTTTCAAAATAAACATTAGGGGCCCTGTAAAAAAATCACATTATAATATATGAAAAATGTGGAAACTGTAAGTTTACAGAATCTAAATCGAAAGAGCATATTCAGTTACGAACACTCTTACCATTCAGTGCAGTTCTTGTGTGAATGTATGACCTTAGAGCCACCATTGTAATCTTGAGGAACAGGCCTGCCTTCATAGTAATGAACCATCTCTCCTGTAGCCTGCAATTTTGTTTAGCAAATAAACTTCAGCAATTTGATTGAAAAGATGGGGAGTTTTTCTCCTATCATAGACTTGGGAGGGAATACTAAAACTCAAACCTCAGAATCTTCCGCAGTAAGACAGAAAGAACATTGTGTTTTATTTGTGATGGTCTCACATTTACTCAAGGTCACTCCATTTGCTAAAGGCAACTTCTTTATTGTTGAACCATCTGAAATTCCAACAGCAGGACTCCCATGAACACTTTCATTTAGTCTTTCTGAAGACACATTACTATTTCCTTGCTGTTGGTCTCCAGCCAACCCACTTTTTGTGTCACCGCTAAAAGGAACTTTCATCTTTTTCTTACAACTCGTGGTTTTTTCACTTTTCAAACTTGTAGCCAACTTTACTTCTCTAGCACGTTTAATTGATCCTTTTCCAACCTGTTTGGCACCACTGTCATGAGCTAAGGGAATGAGAAGTGAGGGCTTCTGTTGAATCATATTTTCATTTGTCAGACTCTGAACAGTTGAAACTTCTTTAGGGATATCAACCTCAGTGAAACTTGTTTTTTGTTTCTTTGACTTCGAACAAGATTTCTTTTGGGACTGGGCAGTGATCTTCCTGCAACTTTTTGCAGACCTCAAGTTCTCATATATGATATCACATTTTCCCTTACCGACTATAGCAGGCAATTGTGCGTCATCCTGTTTAGGAGTTTCAGCATTTTCATGGTGACCCAACCCAGCCACATCACGATTTTTTCTAGTCTTCGCCAAATATGAAGAACTACTACTACAGGCAGCTTCTTGTTTTGTGTTAAATTCTTCAGATCCCTTTCCCAGATTGACATGATCTCCTGAAATATGACTGCTAGTTCTGTCACCAATCTTCTTTGGAGCAGTCTTTCTCTGTTTAGCACCCAGCCCCCGGGATTTACGATTCCCGATCTTATCACTATCACACTTGGTTGTAGAAGATGTTATATTAGGTAGCATCTCGTCTGAAGTGTCATATCTTGTTATCAGGCCAGTGGCAACTGTATTTTCAACCTGTAATGCTGGTTCTTCAGTGTCCTCAACCTGCATTTGTTTGAAATAATAGTAAAATCAGAATGACCACCAAACCTTATGAAAAAAAATACCCAGAAAAGAAGAAATACAAACAAGCTTTAGGTGGGGAGTTTAAATGAGATTGTGTTTACCTGCATTTTAATAGGAGTTGGAAGAAGTTCTGGAGAACAAGGTCTCTGTGTCCATTCAAACATTTCACTATCAAAAAGATTCACATTGTTGGGGTTTCCATTCATCTCCTCCTCCTATATGATTAAATGAAAACATAAGCAAAAAAATTCAGACCATCACAGGGTTCGGTTGTCATTAAACGGAAGATTCATATATTATTTATACAAATTATTTTGGATGCTCGAGTAGAAAATTTTACTAAATGTGCTTATATCTAGCAATGCCAAAATCAAGTGAAAACTTACATTAGAAAACCTTTCATCATCAGAATCTTTCATATCACTGAAAGAGGGAAGTTCGGGCGGTGTTGTGTACACACATTGATCGCCATCTGTGAGCTGACTTGGCCTCTCTACATCCTCCTCCCTCAACCAAAAAAAGGGTGCGAGTGTTTGCTCCCCGTTTTCTCTTAAATTGGAGGCCTCCTTTGTAATATATGTACTCCTCTTAGATTCATTCTCTGTAATTTCTACCACCCCATTTTGAGTTTTTGCAGACCGCACAGGCGTTTCCGACAGGGGATATTGTGGCACCTGAACCCTTTTGTTGGTTGGAAAAGAAGGTTTCACAGGAATAGAATTATAACTTTCTGTCAATTTAGCCACACGTGATCCTCTTCTTTGGTTTGATCCCTGATTGTTCACTCTTTCACGACAATCGAGAGGCGGCTTCTGAGTAACAAGATTACTGAAACCTGAAGCAACTTCCATGCTTTTGTAAATGTTAACCAAGTTATCCATGTGAGGAGCTGGACGAACCTCTACACCATGAACATTAAATAAATAAGTTATCACCAATTGAAGCTTGATTATTAGTTTTGGCCATTCACTTCTTATTTCAACAAATTTAAAGCAATGATTGAAAATAAGCGCGTAGGTAAAATGTGATACCAATTGAAACAAGAACACACAAATAAACAACCAAACAAAGTAATATCGCTGGCCTCAATTGCCAATAAATCAAACAGATAGATGGATTAAAAATAAACTCACTGACAACGAATAAGTCAATAATTTAAAAGGACTGAAAATCAAGAAAGGAAGCATACCTCGACGCCGGTAAGGTACTTTACAAACTGGACAATCGGAACCCAATTTCATTGATTTCAATATACAGGCACTGAAAAGAACCAGAAACTAATAAGGGATTTCGATGATTTCGATGAAAACTCAAACACTCAAAAAAAATTCAAAATAATGTGAAAGGGATTAAAGGGATATATAACGTACTTGCAGAATACATGATTGCATGTGAGCGAAACCGCAGAGTTCAACAGACTCAAGCTGCATCAAAAAAAAATATTAAGAAATTTAAAAAAAACTAAGAAAAAACAATGGAAAGAAACACGAAGCGAAGAGAATGAATAAATACCAAATGGGGCAGTTCAGCTCCCTGCCCATTTTCTCGAGGTGACTCGGATCCCCCATATTTGGTGAATTTTTCTTTATTCTGGAGATTACGCGACGGAAATAGATCAATAACTGAAGAGATGAATGGAATTGGAAGGATATAAATGTCGGCGGAAGATTGTGTTGGAAGAAAGCGCTTAACCCAAAATCTCAAATTCAAATTTCAACCCGCCATTGTCTTCTCTTACCCATTGCCGTTGGCGCTCTATTTCTGATTATTTTTCACTTCTACATTTTTAAGTTACTAACTTGGGCCAGATAAGTGCTGCTATTTACAACTTGAGCTACCAAGCCCGAAGAGTGTTTTAGTCTAATTCTGCTCTCGGTCCATATGCTCTTCATATATTTGAAATTTAAACCCTTCTACTTTTAATCTTTTGAATTTAATCCTTTATTCTTTTAATTTAATAATTGAAATGAAATTGGTAATACCTTCATAATTTAATAAAATTTCTTTGAAAGTGATATTAATTGGACATTAGTTTAAATGATTAAAGAGTATAAGGACTAAGAACAAAAAATATACTCTAGGCTTTCTACTTCTGTACCCTACCATATCAATCCAAATTTATATGCAATGAGTACGTCGAGTCAGGGATGAATAGACGGTGCGGGTGATAGTTACCCTTCGAAAATTTTAATTTATCATTTCTTTTAGATTTATTTTATATTATGTGTTTAGTATCTAAATTGTTAGTTTTTATCTATTTTAGTACTCAAACTTTTAACTTCTTCAAAATCATATTTAACTTTTAATCTTTGTTTCATTTTAGTACATCATCGTTAAAAACTTAAAAAAACAAGCTTGTCGTCCGTCGCGTCTATAATCGTTGACCGTCGTATCCATCAGTTAATGAAGCTCAAATTTTCTAGCTTGCACCTTTTCAACCCCTGAACATGATTTTTGCCCTCCATTTTACCAGAAAATTCCTCAACCTTTCCAAATCATTGATGGTCTCTTCGACTTTTTCATCTTCTGATCTTTATCGTCAGTCACTCAATGGGTCTGAAACTAGACTATGTTGATCAACTCGTCATTTTCTCATGGTCCACCACTCAGATTGGTCGTTCGTCTACCAGAGCTATGCTCTGTCATCTCGTTCTTTAAGTTTTTAACGGCAGGGTACTAAAATAAAATAAAAATTAAATGTTAAGTATGATTTTGAAAAAATTAAAAATTTAGATATTAAAACGTCCCAAAAAATCTACTATTGGTAATAAAACATTACCGGGAATGAGATTCCCGACCAACCAAACATGGGAATATGGATGAGAATCCCTCAATCCTTGAACCAAACACCCCCTAGAAGGCATTCAGTTAACTGACATTAACCTAAAAAGCCACTACTTTCCACTAATCTTCACCGTTTTAACTCAGTTAACCACATTTTTTCTGCAACATTCTTGTTTTCTTCTACCATTAACTATAAGGTATAACAGCTGACAAATATAACTCTTTCTTTTACGAAGTATCTACAGCTGGAGGTGTTAACTAGGGGTGCAAATGAATCGAGCTTGAATGAATAATGTTATGTTCGTGTTTGTTTGTTGTTTTTGAAGGTGTTTATGTTCGATTTTTGTTTGTCTAAATTTTTAATATTGTGTTCGTGCTCGTTTGTTTATTGTCCGCGAACGTGTTTGTTTAAAATTTTAATATCGTATTCATATTCATTTATTTATTGTTCGTAAATATGTTCGTTTATATGTTTACGAACACATTTATGTAGCGTTTACTAACACATGTTCGTTCAGCGTCCATTTAGTGTTCATTTAATGTTCTTTTAGTGTTCGTTTATCATTGGTTTATATGTTCATGCTAAAGAGAAATGATGAAATTATCACTAGTACTTAAACTCCTTAAAATTTACGGTTTAAATTTTAACTTTTACCATGTGTTCAATTTAATCCTCACCTTCACCAATATTTAAAATGCACAAAAAATAATAAAAGGAAAAGGAGAACCGGGTAAACAAGCTTGCTCATGAACATAAATGAACGAGTCGATAAACGAGCTTGTTCGTAAACATAAACGAACTGAACACACCTCTATTCTCGTTCGTTCGTTTATTAAATTAACATAATTTTTTTCTTCATACTCGTTTATTTAGCTTAACAAATGAACATAAACGAATGTTATATGAACGGTTAATGAACAATTCACAGGACTCTTTTTTCATTAACACCCGTACTATCAACTAAGTTGAGTACTACCATAAATCAATGTGCATTGATACTTCCATAAAGGAGTTGGAAGGTGTAATGTCATATTTTGAAAACTATAGAAATAAGGGGTTCAAAGCTAGTATAGATATTGCTAAAAGTCTTCCATTAGATATGAATATAGAGCCAATTTTTCCGACTAAGCGTCGTATTTTTAGAAAAAGACAATTTGATAAGAATGACCATGATGAAGAAATGCAATCAGCAGAGGAGTCTTTTAAAGTTAATTATTTTTTTGTTGTTGATATGTCGGTTGCTTCTTTGAAACATAGATTTGAGCAGTTAAAGATTTTTGAAAATTATTTTGGATTTTTAATTGATTCTACAAGGTTGAAGTCATTGGATGACAATAAATTAAAAGAATGTTGCAGTAATTTTAAGATTATTTTTTCTTATAATAATTTGTCGGATGTTGATGCAGATGATTTTTTTTTTCTGAAATGAAAGTGTTGCAATTGACTTTGTCAAATGTATTCATGTCAGCGCTTGAAGTTCTTGAGTTTGTTAAAGCTAGAGATTGTTATCCTAATGTTTCAATTGGTTATCGAATCTTATTAACAATGTCGGTAACAGTAGCATCCGCGGAAAGAAGTTTTTCAAAGCTGAAATTATTGAATTATTACTTGAGGTCAACAATGTCACAAGAAAAATTGAATGGGCTAGCTATGTTATATATTGAAAAAAATATGTTGGAAAGCATTGATGTTAACACTATCATCAATGATTTTGCATCAAGAAGTGCTCGAAGGCAATGTTTTTTATAAGTATTTATATGCTTAAATATGTTTTGACATTTTTGATATTGTAATGAATTAATATTTATTTAATTTAATAAAAAATTAATTAAAATTTTATATTGCATATTTTTTTAATATTCTTTTAAATTAGGGCCCATTTTTTAAATTTTGCCCCGGGCCAAGAAAAAGTCAGAACTGGCCGTGCGTTCGACTCGAGTTGATTTGATTTTACTTTCTATTCGTATTGAGTAAAATTCAACTCGACTCAATAAGTTCGCGAAAAATTCATTAATATTTTTGTGATGTTAATTGTCTTATTTTTAAGATTGATTATATAGGTTAATTTGGCATATTTGTAGGCTGAATTGTCCATTGTGCTTCGAAGATGCCCCCAAAAGCAATATTGCCACATTAATACCTTCATAACCAACATCGTGATCCCAACCATGAGTATCTAGAACAGGCCTCACAAGCCAAGGGTTGGATGAATCAAGGTAGCGATACCGAAGTAGGCAATACCAAATCTGGCATGGGTAGAACTGTAAATGACCCGAGTTAAATTCGAATATTGTTTAGTTTGACTTGAAAAAGTTTAAAATTCAGCTTGATTTAATTTGAAAAGTCGTAAACTTAAAATTATCAAACTCAACTGAAACTCAAAATAAAAAATTGATACTAACTAATATAACTTACGAATTGTAACGTCTCATATTTAACCCTAGGCACAAGAATCGGAACATAATTGTTTTTCCGTATATTTTCTTCATCGTCTTCGGCTTCCTTTTCTCTTCAATTGTTTTTTCATAAAAAGTTTTTCCCCTATATTCTTACTCTCGAAATATTGAATTAATAGTAGAACCTAAGTCTCTTAAGAGAGTAATCTACATCCTACTCACTAAATCAAACCCTAAAGTTATTATATAATTGATACAGTTAATATTTAAGTTAAACACATATTTACTCTGCAGCGGTTATCTTTCTTTACTGCCGGTTGTCCGTCGTTTTATTTTTGGAGCAGCGATCGGCCACCTCCCTGTCCTTTTGCTCCCTTTTTCCGTTCGTTCTGTTTACTTTTATTAGTTTTTCAGTGTTAGTTTAACTTAGTTTAATAATAATGTTTCTATTGGTTATTCTCGATAAAGGGTATCATGGTTACTGGTGTTTGTAGACTTTCGGTGTAGGTTTTTTTATCTGGTCTTCTTCTTGGTCTGTGATTTTACATGAATATATTGTGGACTTCCGGTGCAGGTTTTTTTATCTGGTCTTCTTCTTGGTCTGTGATTTTACATGAATACATGGTTGGTTGCTATCCCGATGTCTGATTCCTATGTTCGTTTGTAAAAAAATATTCGTTAGTTATCGCGTATATGTGTCGGATGAGATTACCTTTAAGGGGAGATTGCTTTTTACGTTCATTTTGGTTATTCCTCAAGATTCTCTCCTTCATGCTCGGAGCTGTTGATGTGATCATTTTATGTACACCTTTACTTCACTTATTTATATTTTTGTTTAGGGTAAACTACTCCAATGGTCATTAATATTTGGGTATGGTTTCGTTTTCACAACTGATGTTTCAAAAGTTACAAATCGATCACTAACGTTTTCTTTTATTACAAATTGGTCACTCACCGTTAACAGGCATGACAGAAAACACATGTGGCTTGTTAACATCAGTTAACAGGCTTACATGAATGGTATAATTACACAAATAATTCATGTTATTTATATATTCTTTCAATTTGATCATAGTTTTAATAAATCAAAATATATTTATTTTTAATTCTTAAAAATAATAATATATTTTTATACAAAATAATTAAATGTTTAAGTCCAACGGCTTTAAAAAAAGGAAATCAAAAATTTAAAATTAGTTATAAAAACAAAAAAAATTAACGTTCCTAAGTGAATAAAAGATTGATCCCTTTTTTAACAAAGGTTTCAAATTTTATTTCCAATAAAAAATGATTCTTTTAAAAGAAGTTGATCTTTTTAGGCAAATTCTTTAAACTATCTTAAAACGAATCAATCCCTTTTAAAATGGAATTAATCATTATACACTAAAAAGTCAGAGGTTTGGAAGAATGGACAACCCTTGTATGAAGATGAAACAATGCTGAATGCTCTCCAAAAATCAAAACTATCATCTTAAAACAAACAGAAATAAAAGGGTAATACTATTGTAGTAACAAACTTTTATGGAAGCTTTGCACTAAAGATACCATTAGATCCCGGAACTTGTATCGGATGATTAACAGGGAAACGAGGCTGTAGAAACGGAATGTGGCTTGGCACCGCCAATGGTTGCTGTCCGCCGGCTATGAAAGGTTGAGGTACACAAAGCTGAAATGCTTGGCCTGCTGCACTTCCTGCACAATCACAAAGGGCTTGAGAACGAATCGGCATTGCACTATACAAGATTTGGGTTATGATAACGTCTGCGATCTACAAGGATCGTGCTGTTTTATTTTCTATTCAACATGGGTAATGGGATATTATACTTGCAAATACCTTGGTGTTTCGGAAATTGGACATGGTGCGCGGTCAGAGGACGGGCCGGTACTGGAGAGAGAGTTGCCGCACCCTGAACCAAATCCTTCGTATGAAACAAAATGCGATTTATTAATATGAAGTAATAAACTAATGATAACAAGGACATATCATTAGTTTACAGGTATCAAATCTTACATGAGAAACAGGCACATAAATGAGCTGTCCCAGTCGTCCATACATGACCTAGATAGAGAAGGAAAGGCCCGGATGGAGAGAGATTAGTAAATGATTAGAAACAACTTCATCAGTGACCACTGGAGTAGTTTACCCTAAAATTAATTTTACCATTAAATTAATTTTTTTTTGTTTTTATAACTAATTTTAAATTTTTGATTTCTTTTTTTAAGCCGTTGGGCTTAAACATATAATTATTTTGTATAAAAATATATCATTATTTATAAGAATTAAAAATAAATATATTTTGATTTATTAAAACTAAGATCAAATTGAAAGAATATATAAAACATATATTATTTGTGTAATTATACCATCTATGTAAGCTGTTAACGTGTGTTTTCCGTCACGCCTGTTAAAGGCGAGTGACCAATTTGTAACAAACGATAACGTTAGTGATCGATTTGTAACTTTTGAAACATAAGTGGTGAAAAAGAAAACATACACAAACATTAGTGACCATTGGAGTAGTTTACCCTAACATTAATATTTTAGATGGAACCTTGCATTTAGATTGCAAAAGCACGTTTAGATGGCAATTATCCATCACTAATTCCAACCAAAAATCGATTTTGATCAAAACACAGTTCACCAAGCGAACCAGGCATTGTTGTTCTTCTTGTTTATCCTCTCTCTGCCAAACGCCGCCGCCGGATAATTTTCTTTTTCAAAATCCATATAACGCTTCTTGTTGAGACTTATCATCGCCGTCGGATACTTAGGGCCTTACTTCAAAAACTGGAGAAAGAGGGCTCTTGCCCTTTGCAAATTCTTCGAGATGATGGAGATTAGAAAAATGAATTTTGGGCTGTCATTAGATATCACAGGCATGCCTCCAGATATAATGAAGCCCTCCAGGTTCGTCCCTTTTCGTTCTGTCTCTGTTTTCTGAATTAGGCAATCCTTAAAGTTTAGATTTTTGCTAAATTTGGAATGTTGCTTTTAAGGACTCGTTTGGTCTCCAGAAAAGGATGGAAAACAAAGTTATGGTTGGAGAAAACACGTTGAATATAGGCTTTAAAGTTGAGATTTTTACTAAAGTTTTGTTTTGTCTCTGAGAAATCTGTTTGGTCGGTGAGAAAGGGATGGAAATGAGAAGTTTTGAGTTAGAAAATGGGTAGGAAAATACATTGAATATAGAACATGGTATGTTTTCTAGTTTTCAATTTGATTACTCTGAAATTTTTAATGTTTTTAAAATTAGACCGGGACATTGAACCGGTGAAGATACTGGTTCATTGGTTCAACCGAATTCAATCGCGGTTGAATCGAATTTTATATAAAATAATTTTTTTTATTTTATATAATATTCAAAACAATATTAATATATATGTAACATTTTTTTAAGTTTACAATATTAAAAGGTATAAAAATATCACAAGTCATAACATATATAAATTAAAAACTATAAAATCAAGTGAAATAAAAATGATTCAAATCAACTACAACATAATATTTAAGGTAAAACATATTAAATAATAAATATAATTATATAACTATAATCAAAAAAATAAAATTGTGGCTTAAAAAAATCATAACAAATGATGTCGTTTGATTTATTTTTTTTTTAAAAACAATCTCACATGGCTAAGAAACATAGAAGAGTATCCCAAAAGTTTAAAGAGTAAAAATATGAGAACAAAACAATCCCACGTGGCTAAGAAACATATAAGAGCATCCCAACTTACATCTATAAATAATAGAGGTAATTTGACATTCAAAATCATGGAATCTTTTGGTGAGCACACAGTAAATTATTCTTTTGCTTCAATTGAGCTCAAATTTTAGGCTTCAATCGAACTTCTAATTTTTTTTTTAGTTCGAGCCTTTTCGAGTTCAAGTTTTAATATTATATTTCGAGTTCGAGTTGAACTTGATAATTTTTAGCTCGTGAGTTTTTGAGTCGAGTTAAGCTTACTTTTAAAGTTTTCGAGTTCGAGTCGAGCTCAACAATACTCAAATTTAACTTGGCTCGTTGAACAAATGACGTCGTTTGGTTTATTTTTTTTAAAAGAAAAGAAGTGAACCGACGGTTCAAACCGGTTTTGCCGGTTTTCAGTTGATTCACCATGGTTTTACCGGTTTTCAGCCGGTTCATTGCCAGCCCGATTTTGTGAGGTAACCGGACCGGATAGGTCACCGGTTCACGATTCAACCGGCCGGTCCGGTTTTGATAACCATGAAAATTTTAGAAGTTATATATTTGTGGGCAAGTTTTTCGTATGTAGGGGTGGGCATTGGTCGGATTTTTGGTCCACCCAACCTGACTCGAGAACAAGGAGTCCTCCACCAGAGACCCGACCCGACCAAAACAAGTTTTCACCTGACCCGAACTCGACTCGATATATAACTTAAAAACTAGACTCGATCCAAAATAATAAAAATTTATTTTTATTCAATAAAAGCAGTGATTTAATTAAAAAAATAATATATAGAGGGGTATTATTGTAATTATTCCTAAATATATAATGTAAAATTATTTATTTTTTTCGGGTCAGATCGTATATTTTTTACCCTAAACCCGACCCGAACATCACATTTTAAAAAAAATCGACCTTACCCGAACCCGATTTTTTAAAATCAACCCGATTGAATCGGGTTTGGGTCCCATGCCCATCCCTATGGAAGAACATGGATAAATCAAGAATAAATGGACTGAACTATGGACAGATAATAGGATTGTCTAAGTCATGTGTTGTAGTATGTTGAAATACTAGTCAATATAATCACATCACATTAGTATATTTTTCACGTTCCGATTTTCATAAAAGAATAAATGTTGTATTAAAATTATAAAAATATTTTTTATTTTATTTAATAATTTAATTTAATTTAATTTTAAATTTATCTTTATTTATTTCTAAATTTATTATTTAATTTAATATTCATTACAACCAACAAAAACTTATTATTTGCTTAATTTCTTATATTTAAAAACAGTAAATTTTGAAGAGAAAAAAATCCAGTTATACTAAATGAAAGAGAAAGATTGAGTCCATGTTATATATTTTATCAATTTGGTCATAATTTTAATTTAATTTAATAAATTAATCCCCTAATCAGACTATGACATGTGTCAATATTTGATTAGAAAGTTGTATTTATTTGATTTTATTTTATATATTAATTTATTTAAAATTAGGATCAAAATAGTAGAATATATAAGTAACAATGATTAAATATATAATTATATTAAATTTTTTATTCACCACATCACCTACTCCTTTAAATGTTAACGGCTAGTGGCTTGATTGGGTACAATTAAATAGTTAGATGATTTAAATGATAAAATTGAAAGATTAATGGTTAAAATGAAGAGGTGCAATAGTTAAGTGATCACATGTATAATTTACCCTAGATTTTTCTAATAACATGTTAATATTCTATTTTATTATACAATATCTGATTACTCATAATATTTCTTTCAAAAGTTTTAAGTTAGAGAGAATTATACTTAAATGCATTCAAACCTACAAGACAATGGCATATCTTGGCGGTATAATTTTTTTGGGGGGGGGGCTAATTAAAAAATTCAAATTTTTTGAAGGTCTAATCAAATTTTAAAAAATCTTGAGGGGTTTAATGAGAACTTTTTTTAAAAAATATATGTGGTCAAATAAAAGATTTCAAAAAAGTTTGGGAGACTTCATGAAATGTTTCTAATAATTTGAAGGGGGCTTAATTAAAAGTATCTAAAAAAACTTAAAACTTTGAGAGAGTTTTTAAAATTTTAAAATATTTTATAGGTATAATGCAAATTTACTAAAACTTTAGGGTGCCAGGATTCCGATCTTAACAGATACCAATGAGCTGAGGATTCCGACCTTAACAGTCGATGATTGGACGGAGCGTAAGCTCCGTAATTACATCGCCCACGAACGATTCATCTCGAGTGATGAACCGGCTTACTTTTCTGATTACGCTTTGTTCACGGATAACCTCATCAGCACAAGCAAGGATGTGCAGTTACTCCGTAAGAAAGGAATTATTGATAATTGGTTAGGAGACGATGAATCAGTTGCGAATATGATCAACAGGCTTCAGAACTCCGTTGTTATGTCGGATCACTTTTACTATGCCGAGATGTTTGAGAGGGTGAATGAGCATTGCCAGAAAAGAAGGCACAAATGGAAGGCAGCACTGAACAAAAACTATTTCAACTCTCCCTGGTCGCTCATATCGTTTCTTGCCGCCACTGTCGTTGTCCTGCTTGCTATCGTACAAACTATATTTCCAGTTCTTTCTCATTTGACGACCAAGATTGAAGGCAAGCCTGTTCAAGTAAGTATAATAAACTAGACCTAACAATTTGGCTTTCACTTATTTGTTGTGTGATATTGGATGAGCAGCGTGATTCTTTCTTTCTGCCAGGTGATGGAATGGATTTCTTCTGGTTTCCTGCTTCATTGGTGACTTTTGTCTTTAAGCTCTCATCTTTATTCTCAAGTGGTGTTGTATGGGATTTTCTAGATTGGTCAGAGTATTGTGTCTAAATATATAATGGATCTAATGTGACTAAAAAACTAATTCTGAAAATTAAACGATGAAATTTATAATTTTTAAAATTTAATAAAAAAAATAGAAATATGAACAAAGTTGAGCGACTAAAATAAGTATTTTATTTCCCCTTATGAATTTAGGTTTTGGGTTCAAGTTCGCCAAGGACAGAATCACAAGCGGGTGGTTGCGCAGTTGGTTAGCGCGTACGTATCATAGCTTAAGATTGAGTGATCCTGAGGTCGAGAGTTCGAGCCTCTCTCACCCCTTTTCTTTTACTTCCTATTTCATAAATTGAGTAGAAACAATTCTTTGACCCATATAATTTTACTATTCGTCGACGTTTTAATAATTTTACTATTCGTCGACGTTTACACGTAATTTTCTATAGTAAATTTGTTTAACTCCAATCTAATTAGTTAGTTCATTGCTTATGGTCATTTAACCAACAATATGAATTAAGGCCCATAACGTATTTTCTATAAAGATAGGATAGCGTTAGACCATCGACGAATTTCAGGTTATAGGAGGATTCTTCAAGATGATACTTTTTTATCTCCTGTCTATATATACATAGTTGGGGGACCATATTATAAATTGACTAAATGTTAAGGATTGTATTGCAAGATTTAAAAGTTGGGGGATCTAAATGAAAGCTTTAGAAAAGTTCAGTGACCATTACTATACTTTACCCTAATATTTATTAGTTTTATATTTAAAATTTTCTATAAAATTTTTTATTTAATGACAAATAAAATTTTAGAAAAGTTCAGTGACCATTATTAACCAATTGAATTTAATTGACATCATTCGTGATATATTATAAAAAATATAAGATGACATATATTTGAATATTTAATATTTTGTGATTTATAGTGTGAAAATACATTTGAATAATGTAAATATCATATCAATAAAAATAATAATAATAATTAGTCAAATGATAAAGAATTTGTTAATAAATCATATTGAATTTAAGTTTAATTATAATGTGAGTATACTTTTAGTTAATTTCTAATTAAACTTTTACATAACAAAAAATGGACTGTTCTGTATTCCAAATAACATAAATAGATTAAAAATATCATATAAGAATCATTAATTATTTTAAAAATCTTATTATTTAAAAATATCTACATAAAACACCTTAAAATTTTATCGAATGAATATAAAAATATTAAACAAAATTGATTTTATCAAATTAAAGTAAAAATATGAAACTAATAATTAATATAAAAAACAATTGAACTCTATGAATCAAATTATAAGATAATTCAACCAACGTGATTATTTAAGTGGTAAGCAGTTTGATATCGTTTAAATAATGTATTGAGTTCAAGTCTGAGTCCTTGTATATGTAGAAAATCCTTGCTGGAATACTCACCCACCAAAATCAGATGTGCGACGCGGGTCGGTCCGAATTAATCAAGGTAAAACCTTGAAATCGGGATAGAAAAAAAGAAGATTATAAGATAATTGACAAATTTAATAAACTCAACCGAACTAAACTTGTTCCACTCCTATCTAGACGTTTCAGTAGTAATATGTGCTTAAATATAATTAAGTCTACATTTTCATGTATATACAGTTCAACATCATTAATAATCTATAGTATATTTGATAAAAGCTCTCAACAGAAATATTTTCTCTTTTTCAAATTATGAATTTAATATTTATTAAGAATAAAATTTTCTTTCTCCTCCTTATGAGCAAGAATTATTCAAAAAAATGTTAATAAAATTAAGATTAATTCAATCGGTTTCTTTATAACGAATTTCTATTTATTTTTTCATATAAAAAACTAGATCGAAAAAAAACCCTTAAATGGTGGGTTGTCACCAGAGGCGGATGTACATGGCTCCCTAAGAAAATCATTGCACACCCATTATTTTAAGAAAAATGTTAAATTTAGTTTAATTTATAGCCATCAGATATTTCAATATGATAATGTAGCCATCAGAAAATTGTAGAGCATGGACCAACATTAATGAGATGATTAGAAATTGTAGAGCATGGACCAACATTAATGAGATGATTAGAAACGTGTGAAATTGACTCCAAGTCCAACCACAAATTCCCTTTCACATGAACCCCATAATTTTGGAACTGTCGGCAACGAGTTGTGGAAATCTGATAATAAATTAAGAGTGTAATTACACGTATTATATGTTGAAAATTTTCAACACTCCAATTCTGGTCTTAAAAAAAATTAAAATTGTAATAAATCGAACAGCCGAAATTCCATACATTTTTATGTGTATCATTGTTTGAGAGTCTCAGATTGTTTTCACATTTTTCATTAATGTTGTGAAGTTTTTTACATTTTCTTTATGATTAAATTATTTAATTATAAAAATATTTTGATCACCCAAAAAATCATTAAATTTAAGATTTATTTTTTAATCATTTATAATAAATTTTCTTTAATTAAGAAAAAATTAGAATGGTAGTCTAGAATTTGAACCCACGTACAAAAACTCTAAACTTAAATGTTGTTTGTAACTTCAATTTTTGTTAAATAAGATATAATATGATATTTTAGGTATGTATGGAACATGAAAAGTTTTAAGTTAAAACTAACTATATTAATAAAATATTGTTTTTGGGCAAAACTGCCACGATAATGTTTGAGGGAAACTTTTATTCCCAAGATAATGAAGCCATGATATTATTTCCCACAATGGGGTGATTTACACAGGAAACAAGGATCTCTAGGCGTCTTCATGCATGTTGGATTCACTAGAGGACCTCTCGGCGTCTTCTACTTACCCTCCCAGCATGTGGGGCATGTCGACTTGAGCAGAGAAGGATCTCTCGGCGTCTTGGGCATGCAGGATCTCTCGGCGTCTTGTGCATGGAGTATCTCTCGGCGTCTTGTGCATGCAGGATCTCTCGGCGTCTTCTTCAGCCTTGTGGGTGGAGTTCTCGGCGTCTTCTTCATCAGCCTTGGTGGTGGAGTTCTCGGCGTCTTCTTCATCAGCATCATTCATCACAATGCAATGGACGTTTATAAGAGGGGTCGGTTATGAAATTCATATGAATTAGCAGAAATCACAGAGGTTCACTTCATTCCCTTTAATCCAACCGACAAGAGAACAACCCTTACATACATTGATGGAGCTGGTAAGATGCATATAGTCAACAAAGGTGCACTAGAGAGTAAGTAGATTGTGTGAAACTCATAAGTTATTGGCTCATTTATATGCAACTTGTAGATACTCAACGTGGCCTGGAATTCCAAAATCAATGTGAAAGAAAGTTTTATATAAAAATGTATATTTTATTAATGAAAAAGCATTAGGGCCCAGACATTAAACAAAAGTATACATAAAAATGCACACGTCATCTCCCAATAGCGAGTGTGGTGAAAGAGACATACTTTAGGTTGGCTAAAGTTTAGTCTGATAAAGGGAAAGAGATCGAGTGTCTGATAAATCGCGGTAAAATATGGGCTCCGACGGTGGTTGAAGCAATGGAATCAAATGAGCGTATGGCAACCTCAATGTTTGTTCATGACTTCGATCGAATTGGACATATTTTTGTTGTCATCGCATGCATACGTCGAAATGAAGGAGCAGATCGAGAATCATTTACTGTTAATTTACGACAAAGATGGTGTGAATGTGGTCGTTTTCAGGCGTGGAGATATCCGTGTGCTCATGCAGTCGCTGCATGTATGCATACTGGAATCAATTCATACACTTATGTTGATGAGTGCTTTCACCCACAGAGGATATTAAATATATACAACCATGAGTTCAGACCGATCCCAAATGAATCTTATTGGGAGAATCGAAATCATGATGAATGGTTGCCAAATCCACTACTTCGTAGAAGTCTGACAGGTCGACCGGAATCTACTCGTATTTATACCAGTATGGATAATAATAATTAACTTTAATGATTTAATAATAATTACTTTAATGATTTAATAATAATTACTTTAATGATTTAACTTTAATGATTTAATTTTAATGATTTAATAATAATTACTTTAATGCTTTAATAATAATTACTTTAATGATTACAATAAGGATTACAACTCTTGTCGGTGTCGGGGTGTTGTTGAGTAATAATGTCGAGGCCCACGTCGGTTTCGTTGTTGTCGTTGCACTTGTTCAGGAGTTTGTTCAGCATAACCAACCTGCTCATTCATAGAGGGCATAGGTTCTGGTGTTGTAAATACATGCCCACCACCACTATGCTCTCCCATATGAGGACAAACACTCGTACTTGTCATCATAGATGTCATCTGATCAAAATCATTTGTTGCCCCAAACATAGGAGAGAACATGAGTGATTGATGAGGAACATGCTGAGGAGTGTAGGGCGTAACACCAGAATCACCAACCACTTGACTAAATGATCTTGTGTGATCAAAAGATTCTGGTGGGATATTATCCATTGTCTCTTGTTCTGCTCCACGGTGAGAAGAACTCCTACTCCCACTCCCACTCTCACTCCCAGTCCCAGTCCTTCTTGGTTTCTCAGGTTTACCGAATTTTTTCGTATACTCTATAAATTGTCGTCTTTCTCTGATCGTTGTCAAGAGCGGCTTTCCATGTTCCCAAAAATAATTCAGGTAATATGAACTTTTGAAGTCAAAGTTATCTGCTTGTATGGGAGTGAGCGTTGGCAAGTATGAACCCCTGTTGTTCCAATGATTGATATGGTTAGCATGCCTCACCGACCAATCCTCACCGACCCTACCCCGCCCATCTAATCGATGGAGAGCATCATGATTCTCTGGAATGACTGGAATATGTTGGTGGAAGCTGAACTGCCTCAACACTCTATCGGCAAATTGGAACTCCACAAACATGAAATGGATCAATGGTGTAACAGCACACCAATATTCACAACCCTCCCAGACATGTTGCGGTACGCACGACATAATTTCTTGATCATCATACGGCCTCCAAATAAACTATAAAATAAAATTATATAGTTATTATTTAATTAAATAATTATAAAAATCAACAAATTAA